CCCCCCCCCCCTTGAGGAAAGCTGCTTTGCCAAGCTCATTAGTGTGAATGAAGGTGGCCACTGCAGAGGACCCCCAACCAGGAGACACAGTGTAATTGCTTTACTCCTCTGCTCCTCGCCCTTCTCCACCAAATAAGTTGATCAGGGCAGTAATTCTCCGTCAAAGGGTAAATAGTCATGTCTGGCCCTGTCTCTTTACCTGGGCCACATTGGAAGCTGCATCTTAGCTATTGAGTGTTTATCTGTCTGTTTTGTGTTGCAAGTGAAGTGTTTTTGAAGATAGTTGTTGATAAGATGTGGGCATGATTTGTTTTTCATGTCCCAAATGATTTCATTTTACAGTGACAAGAAGGAGTGTTTGATGTGCTTAGTAGATGCACTGGAAGGTTGTCTCTAGGGCCCTTCTAAGTCCTCTAGAAACCTTTCCCAAAACTGCTCACAGAGGGGTGAGTTACTTTTCTTACAGGAGAAAGTCACTGCTTCCTGGTGGGGCTCCAAGGTCGTGGCCCTGGGCTCAGGTGGCTGGGGGAGGGAGGGGGTTTGAGCAGGGCTGGCCGGTGAGGCAGGTTCTCCTCACTCCCAGGCAGGTGTTGATACAACAGAGCTGCCTCTGGGCTCTGTAGGCACCTAGGGAGGAGAAGCACCGGGAGGGGCTCTTTGCCTTAGGGAAGCCACCCGAGGAATCCTGGTCCCAGGCCTGCCACTCACAGGCCCTGACCAAACACAGCTGCCTCTGGGGGCTCCCTGCTAGGGGGGTTGGACCGAGGGAGTACCAGAGAGCTGCAGCCCCCGCCCTGCTGCGGATCCCTGTCTAGAGCCTGCTGGGACAAAGCCGGGGTAAGAAGGCCCTTTACACTGTGTTCTTGGTCTGCTTGATGCTGATGTCTTGTGTCTCTCTTCTACGGAAACATTCCTTTATTTATCAGAGAGGGTAGTATGAAAAGTTTTGATTCATCTAGGTGTCAAAAGGCAAAAAATGCAGCATCAGGCGATGCATTCTGGAGGGAGGGATGATGTTTGGTCTCTAGTCAATAAATTGGGCAGTAACTTTTGAGAACCTGCTTTGTGGCTGAGCTATACTGGTGATAGAATGGAAAACATGACATAGTTCTCACCTCATGGAATTGACTGGTTAGTGGGCAACACAAACGTGAAACAAGTAGTTGCTGATGATTTATCTTCTGGGAGTACTGGTTTCACGTGGTGGTGGTGGTGGTCTGAAAGGGCTTAGGGTAGAAGAGGATCTTTGCACTGAGGCTCCAATGACAGGATTGTGTTGGGTGCATGGAAACCAAGGGGACTTGGGGAGGAAGAAATTGAGGTTCCAAATCTAGGGGAATGCATGGACAAAGGTCCTGAGGTAGGAGGGAGCTCCGGGAGACATTGTGTGTCCAGAGAGCAGTGTGAAGGGCAATGAAGCTGGAGGGGAAGGCAAAGGCCAGATATACAACCTTTTTGTTGGCCAAATCAAGGGTTTTAGACTTGATTCTATGAGAAATAGAGATACAAGAATAATTAAAGCAGAGAAGGGATAACCCCAGTGTCTGTCGAACAGCAGCTACTGTATATATTATAAAATGAAATGAGAAAAAGGGGCCCGTTCTGGAGGTGTGATAGTTATTCCAGAAGGTTGGTCTTTGGGGAAATTGATTTGGCTTGGCAGTGGTAGATCAGTCCAGAGGGCCTTTGGTGGGAGTGGGTTCTACATGAATACCCTTTTTCCATACAGAGGACATACATACAGATTTATTTCATTCTGGCTGACTGCACAGGGTTCTGTGAGTCAGCTTAATCACTGTCCTGTTGATGGATATCTGGGTTAGATCCATTTATTATAATTATGATATACAATGTTATCAGGAACATCGTTGTGCATACATTTTCCCATACATCTCCAAGTTTGTCCAAATGAATAGCAGTGGAAATCCTGGGTCATGGATATGAGTGCTATAAAATTTGATAGACCCTGACAGATTGCTCTCTGAAAAAAACTGTCCAAATGTACACTTCCAAGACTAAAGTACAGTGTATGAAGATGCCTGCTCTCTCATACCGTCCACAACATGGGTCTTTACTCATATTTTTTAATCTCTTGCCAGTCCGATAGGTGGTGAAAAGTGCTATCTTGTTTTTGTTTATATTTTTAGAATTAAGAGTCATTCCTGTTGGATTTTTTTCCCCTGTCAGATATTAATATAATGCAACTAAAGCCAGTTTTCATCCTAAGGCTTCTATACTCTTATTCCCTCTGATGTCTTTGTCTCCTGCAGACCAAGGCTGTGTCAAGATGGCGTCCGTGTTTCGCAGTGAGGAGATGTGTTTGTCCCAGCTGTTTCTCCAGGTGGAGGCTGCATATTGCTGTGTGGCTGAGCTTGGGGAGCTTGGACTGGTTCAGTTCAAAGATGTAGGTGCCACATTCTTGGGAGACCAGAGGAAAGTGGGGTGGGTGTAGACATCTCTTTCACACCAACTTCTTGGTAGTGAACTAAGTTCAGGGAGTAGAGCCCGGAGCTGGGATAGATGGCATTCCACGTGGTTCTAGTTGTTCTGGCTAAGGTTTGTGATAACGTTGAGAAGTGACTTGCAAACATGTTCTCCTTTCCTCTAGATGTATCTCTTCTATAGGAATGTTTTGAGGCTCTAATGCAGTCACTACATGTTAGATGGCATTATACTTTATTTCCTACATAGTACCTTCAAAGAATTAGAGGTCTCCAATGGGCATGTGGACTACCAAACCTTGTTCCGAAGACAGAAACCAATTGTTCCTAACTAGCTGGTCTGAGGACAAAGTGCACAGTCTCCCTAGAGTGACATTCTAGGGCTAGACAGTCTTGAGTGTGATGTTGGGGTATCATTTCTCAGAGGTGGTTTGGATCCTTACCAAGCTTTTTTGAACAACGTTCTTTACTCCTTTACTTCCTCACCAAGATCACAATCAAAACTAAGCTCCTGCAGGAAGGATCTTGTCTTGTTCTGTGTGTTCTTAGTTTCTAGTACAGGACCTGACGTGAGGCAGTTCCTTAATAACATTTATTGGGCTGAGCTGAGGGTCACCATCACTAGGACACTGAATTTTTGTTGATGATTGTGATAACATTGCATGGAGCTATGCAATTTCAAGATCCTGTCGTATTCATGACTCCACTGAGGATTTCAAGGCTCATTTGGATGTAAATCCAACTAAAAGCAAGGAAACCTTAACTGTGGGAGGACTTTCTAAGTGTAGGAAGACCAGAGCTGAGGCATTTGGGAGATTGTGTATAAGAATATCAAGGTGTGTTTTGCCTGTAACTTACCTGTCTCATGCATGGAAGTATCTATTCCGAAGATGGTTCCAGCAACCTTCCCCAGCATTAATAATAATAATAATAATAATAATAATAATAATTATTATTATT